AGCCTCTTTGTGCTTGCTAATGTATAATGTCCATTTCCGATCGACCAAAAGAGCTGTTGCCTACCAGTTTCCTCATCTCAGCAATCATCGCCTTTGACTTATCAACATCGCCCTCTCGTCGAGCATTTGATACAGCCTCCATCGAAAGGGCCAAAGCCTTGTGAGAGCTAGCCTTGACAAAGCAGTAAGTCTAGGTTGACTACATATCATGCAAAAGGTATCACTTACGCAAAGAAGTTTAGAAGAGAATCCTTTCACCAAAGTAGCTACCAATCAACTTGTGAGCTGGTTTTGCTCGGCTTTGCTTGTACGCCTCATTGTGATCGAGCATGTGCTTACCAATGACGCTTCCATTCGTACAGTCGATCAGTTTACTCTTGAAAATTGGAGTCATCTCACCAAAGTACTATTTGAGGTACTCTGGCATTCGATTACACACTCAAGAAAGCCGATTACCTTGTCTGCTTGATGTCATCGATAATACCATCATACACTTTAACCGTAGACAATCGACCGCATAACATCTCATTACCAAGGACCCATAGGTATAAAACGTTAGCGTCTTATCCGATAATTTTCTTACAGACCTTACCACATGGAATCTTCGTTTCATTACGCTAAGCGTTGCGTTTAAAGATAATATATGGACCTCCAGCTATAATAACCTTCATCTTAGAGTAGATATCCTCCTCCTCCTTGTCGATTGAATAGACTAGTCTATCCGAGTTGAGCTCAAGCAACTTCTTATACCGAAATCCCCTTAAGCGACGTGTCTTTTAGAGCGGTGTTGCACTTAACGCAGCTGACCAAGATAATACGTCGACGTGGCTAACATTATTGTTGATACGATCCGCTGCAGCGGTGTCAGCAGTCAGTTGACAGTAGATTAGACCACAAAACTTTTGCTTTTGCAGCATTGTATTCACGTGCTCGAGCCTCATACCAACTGTTGTAGCCAGCCATGCGCTTAGCTAGAAATTGAAGTGCGTTAGCAGGTTTCGTATCCGGATATCGGAGACTATTGAAGCAGGTCTGATGTCTGACCTTCTCTGAAAGACCGGGTAAGGACACTCCATCCATGAATATATCCAGATTGAAACGCTTGAAAAATTCTCGTTGAGCCTTGATAGCCTTGATGAATGGGACTATGTGAGATTGTTGTATAAGATCAATATGTTCTTGATCGATTCCATCCCGTAGTACTCCCACACGAACTTTACTTGTTCGTAGTCATCCTTGGTGATGCTTGTTCCTCGTCAAAAAGCTGACTTAGGTGAGATGGTAGTCTGATTTTGTACATTGAATTCAGTTATGAACTCGTAAGAAAAAAGACTCTTACCAAGACCACAGACACATCTGATTTTGTCATCACATTTACAGCGACCGAGATATGTTGCAAGATGTTTATCGTAGCTGGTACCTGCTGATACATAGTTGCTAATATCGACATTTTCATGTCCGATGTAGCAACGCACATGTAGCTGACATATTAAAATGTTATCGGTACAGATAACGACAAACAAATCTTTTTTAATCAAGTTAATATCGTATCGACTAGAGTTGAAAACAAATACTGGTATCTGATCTATCTGCTGTTTTAGCTTCCCGAAATCAGACCTTCGCTTACAAAAAACCAAGGCTGCCATGAAAGTCCAAGAAGCTGGCATACTTTCCTTGTTTAATCCAACCCTCGACAACAGACATCATGTAGGTCTTACCAAGATTGCCTCCTGGAAATACCATACTTGTCAGACCGTGAGCGTTGACAAAACTCTGTAAAGCGACTTGTACTTATTGACATTGTACTGCTTGATCTTCTCGGATACACCACCGGTGTAGTTGAACATATCCGTAAGTAGCATTTTCGGATCTTCAATTTCAAAGCAACGCGCCCCCTCGGTTCATTGATCAGCTACTGATACAGACACGGGATGTGCCCGTTCGTGAAGACAGTATTCTCTCCATGTTGATTCGCGATAGGCTTAAGGATGGCCTCAAAGTCATAACCGATGAAGTGATCAATGTACTGGTCAGTATACCTGATTGAATACTTCGTAAGCAGTGGTCGTATTGCGTTCTGAGCTAATTTGTAGATAGCTGGCTCAGATGTGAAAATTTCGATATTCACGAGCTCGCACTGATTTTTTTTGTGATTTTTTAACTCTTTCAGCGCTGAAGAAAACCATTTCACACTTAGAACATTGATACTTAGCCTGAAGCATATCAATGTTTCTGATGTATGCGTCGAAGGAGCTCGAACAGTAAAGCTTGTGGCTTAGACAAAAGACGCATATCGATGATGAAAGTGCTGCTTATCCCTGGACTTGACAGACCTTTACTGTCGGTGAGAAAGCTTGCCGAATGTGGACTATGCGTGGGGTTAAGCATGCTTTTCCAACATTTAAGAAAAGAACTATGCATTGGCAACTGGGACGAGAAATGAGACAGCTTACACACTGAATTGTCAGCAAGACGAGGCACGATCGGTGCAATACTCGGGGGCTGATAGTCGTGGGAGTTGAGGCACGCTCGCATAGGACACCCAAGCGAGAATGTTTTAGTGAAGACTATGCGATCCACAGAAGGTATGCCTGCACCAAAACAAGCTATCAAGACCTTGTATGGTGGATGCATGAAGGGTAAGCAGACAATTGAAGCCTTTCCAGGACGCTCCATGACAAAGCCGCCACGTGTATTGGAATTAACTCACACAGACGTGATAGGGCCCATGAAGCCACTTTCGAAAGGAGGTGCATAGTACAAGCTGACTTTTGTGGATGATAATTCACGATATGTGGCAGCTCACTTTCTGGTGAAGAAGAGTGGAGTTGCCGATAAGATCAAGATGTTCAAAGCATTGCATGAAAATAAATGGGGAGCCCGTATCAAGTGCCTGCTTTCGGACAACGGAACGGAAGTTGTCAACAAGACAGTTACGGAGTCATGTCAACGGAACGGCATTATACATCAGTGTAAAGTACCATACAGCCCCAAACAAAACGGAATTGCAGAACAAATGAACCGTACAAACATGGAAAAGGCACGAAGGAGGCTACACTACAAGTGTGTTCCGACATGTCGGTGGGCAGAGGCAGTAAGCACTGCGGCTTACCTGATCAATCGCTATCCCAATACAGTGCACTCAAACAATACCCCGAGCTATGATTTATGATTAAGCCTTGGATGATTCACCTTAGGGTGTTTGGGTCTCATGGGCATGCTCACTTTGATCAAGTGAAGAGGACGATGCTCAAAGCCAAAAGCTTTAATTGCATTTTTTGTTATGCCGAAGACGCCAAGGAATATCGAGTTAACGATTTGGAGAAAGCCAAGATATCAGTATCACGGTCGGTGAAGACGGACGAGCGTGAAGTGAACGGCATCATGAGACTTACCCGCCCAAATAAATAAAATTGATACACATAATCAAGAACAACGATGACAGCGCAGTGTTCGGGTCGACAAAACCCCCAACTAGATCAAGATAAACCCATGGAGTGTGAAGAAGAAAAGAAATTTTTGATGCCCCAGTGAATGAGGAGGAGTTCGACATAAATGAGTCAAGGGTCGGGGTACCTCGACTACCAGCCTCAGTATACTCTGCACTGACAGAGTACAGAAATATCTACACTGGATGCACAGGAAGATCGATTGGTATTTCAGCCTCAAGCGGAACATTCAAGGCGTACACGTGAACCAATGTTATTATTGGACAACGGGTCAGATACCGAAGAATTTTGGAAGGAAGCGAAGAACCCATATCTGCAAAGCGTGCAATATATTGATGATGTCGGCCTCAAAATTGAAGCTGTTCTCGCTTACGCTGTAAGTGTTGGTGAAGAGTCGGACTTGCCTA